TGAAAATCCTAGCAGTGACTTCCATTGTGAGCCAGAATAGCTTGACATTACTATTATAGGTGAAGAAATTGCTTCTTGAGAGCTATGCTGTCAGGCAGATGGGCTGCATTAGTGCTCTACATTAAGGCCATGTCCACACGTACACGGGTATTTTTATAAACTGAGTTTTTCCTTCCGTTTTAAAAAAAATCTCTGTCCACATGAAAACGCAAACGCATGCTATGAAGCACTGTCAAGAGCATGCCAAGCCAACAGGTGGCGATATAATCTCAACCGTAAAGCCATGTTGGCCAATCAGAAGCCTGAAAAAGTCTCCAGTAGGCGGAGATAACAGCGCAGGCTCCGACGTCACAAGCCAAAAACTCCGGTTTCGCTGTCTACACGATAACACTGCAACCAGAGCTTTTGAAAATCTTCACCCTGGCAGGAGTTTTCAGAAATGTTCGGTTTCAGTGACCTGGTGCTGTGTTTGCGTGTGGACGAACGGCCTAACCGCATAGAAAAAGCTGCGGTTTTAAAAATACCCATGTTCGTGTGGACAGGGCCTAAGACTATTACTATTGATGTATATACTGTTTTAAAGGCTGTGTATTTGTTCTCTATGTTGAGACCAGAATACCATAGAGATCTGGGATCGTTTACATTGGGACTAAACAACAATCACTCACATTTTCTTCTGAATAATGCAAATTCGTACATGTATGCAGTGTAACACACATCTGGAAATGCTGCCACAGAAGCCAGAAATCATCCATCTGTTTCTTTGCCCTTGTGCTTTATAGAAATATAACAAAGCACCTCATGTTGAATATGTCTCTTTCATCGTTTGCATTCTTAATCTGTAATCAGAGAGACTGAAGGTTACATGCTTTATTTTAATGGCACCATAGAAGCTTCAGTGGAAGTATATTGTTTGGTGGATATAAGGAAATATAATTGTGCCGCCACACGGTCAGGTTTTTGCACAATGTTTTTTAATGATTAGACATGGTCATTGTTGTTACTTTGGTCATTGTTGCGTTTCAAGGCTTTCATCTATTTAGAAATCTTGTCTTTATTGGTTTTCTCAGATTCCCTCCTTCAGTTCTCCTGTTTTTTTTTTTTGTGTGTCATAGTGTAATCTTGTGGTTTTGCTGTGAAATGAAAAGCTGGTAAATGTCATGTCCGTGAGGTCAGTCGTGGCTGAAGCCGTCAGTTTGATTGAGCTCTGTCTTCATGTGTTGTAGGTGACAGCGTTACAGTCGTGTGTTTATGACGCCACAGCAGCCTGTGATTAAAAGTGCTTGTTATTCTGGCTATCAGCGTGTTAAAAGCTGCTTTTATAAGCAAACAGCAGGATTTAATATTCCCACCGGCTCTGTTAGGAAAGCGTGACGCTGCCAAAGCGAATGAGCCAATCAGCACATCTCTGTAATGCTTCCCAGCAGCCTTCACTTATGAGAGACAAACAGATGCTGGAGGTGTAGAGACAGTCCTCCTCATGAACCGCAGAGCAGACAGTCTTTATGATGCTCTGAAGGAGGCTTATTGGATTAGCAGCAAGAAATCATATTCTGTCGTTTTAGTCAGTGTGGAGCATGTTGAGAACGCATTTCTGCATGTTTGTAAAGTTGCTCGTGACTTGAGAGACTAAAACTGTAAAGGAGCTGATGAGTTCAATAGCATTTATTCTGTTATTGTTACTGCTACTGTACTGCAGTATAAACTGCATTAATGCCATCAGAACAAAAGCAGATCAAACTAGACGTTGCATTTTTTTGAAGAGAATATGACTTTTTAAATGATTTTTCCTTCCAGTCTCTGTGATCCTCTGGTCTGTAGATACGGCTCTGGTCTCTCACACACTTTGCATAATAAGTAGAATTCATTATGATTTCAAACTAAATTACAACCATTAAAATCTAAATAAAAAAAGTAAAAATCAAAAGTCTCAGCATTTCCGTGTAATGTCACCAATGCACTGTTAATGTTACTTATTTCGATAAGCAGCACAGCTCATTATATTAACCTTTAATTGCACAGTTGAGGTGAGGTCATAAGATTACACACACCTTGAAGAATATGTATGTTAATAATTTGATTTAATTTGAATTTAATCTTTTTTTTTCTCCATAGAACAAATCTCTATATCAGCGGCTGTGATTAGGCCAGAGGCACGAGGCCGCTGATATATTAGTGAGAAATAATGAGGTTATAAGAGAGCAACAAGACATGCATCCAAATGAGAGAGAGACCGCGAAGCTAGACGTTTCTTCTTATATTAACTAACCTACTCTATGATTAGCTCAGTGAATAATAAAATAAAAAATAGATAGATCCGGCTAGAACAAGCGGAGTGATACAAAATTGTGAAAGGGCGTTCCTGTAGCGATACCAGTACAATATCTCACGGTTCTCAACCAATCAGATTTGAGAACCAGAACGAACTGTTGTATAAATATATATATATAGAAACAAAATAAAATGCAAGTGCAGTGCAACCCCAGAGAGTAAAAGTGAAAATGTGTGATTAATCTGTGTCTGTCATACATATTTCATACGCTCTCTGTGTTGATGAGGTTATGAATGTGATTGGTTGCCTCTGGAGCTGCACATGTTTTTGTCCTCATTTGCATAAGAGCAAAATCATCTAACGCTGGTGATGCCAGGTGTGTGTGTACCAATCGCATTTGCACATGTTATTACCATATTCTGATGTTTGGCTCGATCACTGATTTGCACCGGATTCGTTATGTGTCACGTGATGTAAGAAAGGAAGTGGTGCTGCTCAGACAGTGATGTGAAGCTGAATTCATGACGGCTCTCTTGCTCTCACGTCGTTTGCTTGGTAACATTATGCAGATGAGAGAAGGCTATTTCAGGCCTTGGGAGGTCTTTATTAAAATAATCCATAAAGAGCTGATCTAGTAGCATGTAGATGGGAGTTCGAGAGATCGTCCAAGCGCCTCGACACCAGTGTGAGATCTTAACTTAACACCTGACACACATCTGACTTCAGTGCAGCAGCTCTATTTGCTCCTCAGCACCCGTGTCTTTGTCAAAGTCTTCATTTCTAGCTCTGAATCCAGTATGTTCCTCAGTCTTTCTGCTCAGAGATTGATTGAAGAGTATTAAACTTCTGTGGTTTATTCAGCCTAAACTGCTGAACATGGAGACTCCAGTGACTTTTTCTTTTTCACTTCCAAAAAACGTATTTTAACAGTATTTTACTGTAAAATTATATTAAATGTAATTACATTTATTCACCGAATATAGTATGGAAACTTACTGTTAACCAGTTAATAGGTTTTTACTGTAGCGTTTTTACAGTCTTTTACAGTTAAAATCACAATATTTTTTTTACAGTGTAGAGTGCTGGTTTTTGTAAACCTTATACCTCTTAATAAATTTAGAGGCATTGGAAGACCATTGCTGTTGTTTTTTGCACTGGTCAGTTTTGAGATTTTGGTCTGTTTTGCTTCCATATCATGTCTCCTTTCAGACTAGTGGACTGAAAACATATCAAATACACATTGAAGTGTTTATTTAGCGTCTGTAGATTTCAATTCCTATCAAATCCATATCAGGCTGTGAAATTAAAAGCCTGATTACTGCATAATGTGCTGCTTATTAATAGTTAGTAAGGCAGTTGTTAAGTTGGGGTAGGACCTAATCGATCTAAAATATGATCATGAAGAATAAGGCATTAATATGTGCTTTATAAGTAGTAATAAACACCCAATATGCTTGTAATATGCATGCTAATAAGCAGCTAGTTAATAGTGAGAATTGGACCCTAAACTAAAATGTCACCAACACTTAATATAATAAATCAGATAGGGAAATATGGTGATAGTCATCTTTTTTTTTTTACCTTGTTCACCTGGGGTTTTGAACCTCTGCTAAAGCCAATATAATAGTTGATATATTTAATATTTATTATAATACGTGAACTGTGTTTATTTAACAGTTCCTAGCTGCCTTTACATTGCACCGTGACACCGTCGGCAGAGAACAGGAGTGAAGAGAAGCAGTGTTTAATTAGCAGAGGAATAAAGGCTGCTAACTAACAGCGGTTGTGCTGGAAAACGCCGTCACCCTCCCATCCGCCGCTTTAATGAAGGCAGGCTTTAAAATGCTGTATTTAATTTGATTTAGCATTTTTATGAGACGAGCCCTTCTCTCAATCACATTGAACTGTTTATTGTTACATTAGCGCTCCTGCTCACAGTCAGGCTTTTGGACTACAGTTAATAAATGTGAACGATTTCCATAAAATATTCAAAGAAGCCCATTATTGCTACGCCGGCTCATCTCCGCTGCTAAACTTCAATCAGTTTTGCATTTGAAACGCATTAAATGCCTGGGTAAAACGCTATCATCTGCACAGCAATATTTTTATAGCCGCTATTGGGGAAAGCGTGAACTTATATGAGGTGCATTAACTCTGCGGTTTAATTATTCAGAGTGTATTGATTTCACACGCAATCTCTGGATGTATTACTCATTAAGTATTTAAAACACTCGTGCAATTTTCTTGTTTACTAGCGAGTACAATGGTATGACTGTAAATCTCGCAAAAATAATTACACAGATGCGTCGAAAGCTAATGGTCATTTTAACAGCGACTCTGTAATTAATTCATGAGAGGTTTTAATAAGAGCGTGATGTACATACATGCTCGTTTAAGGCCTGAGACTGAATCTGACATTTGAATTTGAGTCTACACTAGTCTATAATGTTGATTTTATCGATCATTGTTGATTTCATCAGTAAAACCATTGATTGTTCATCCATTTAGATGATATGTCTTGATATTATTAAATATTAATTTCTTGATTTATTGTTTGGCCTTTTGCTGTCTTTATTAATACAATTGGAAAGCAAGAGTGTGAAGCAATGAAAGCCATTTTATTTTGTATTTGTAACTGAATGTGAATTCCTGTAGTGTGAATCCTGACCCATGGATGGCGCTGGCGTCTCATGTTTGCTGTGGTGTGTGTGTGTGTGTGTGTGTGCAGATGATGGAGAGGACAGAAGAGCAGAAGATGATGAGAAATCGTCACCGGTCCAGCAGGTGAAGAGCTCAAACCTCATCATGATCTCTAATACTCTTACTAGACTGTCAGAAACCCAGTCGACACACATGTGTTTCAGTTCATAACGGAGTTCCTCAGAAATCACCCACCTGTGTTAAAGCACTGAGGATATGTGTCTAAAACAATGCAGACATATGTTTGGATGCAGCTACACTAAAAAAGTGTTTATGTTTACAACTGATTATTATCAATGTTGAAAACACTTGTGCTGCACAATATTTTTTTATTTTGGATGCATTTTATTTTTCAGGATTCACAGATGAATAGAAAGTTCAACAGCATTTATTTGAAATAGAAATCTTTTGTGACATTTTTTATTATTATTGTGACATTATTATTATTTATTTATTCTTTACTGTCACTTTTGATCAGTTTAATGCATCTGAATAAAAGCTTTTTGGTCCCACTTTATATTAAGTGGCCTTAACTACTATGCACTTACATTTAAATTAATAATTTGGTACAATGCACTTATTGTGTACATACATGTTTTTACATTGTACTTATATTTAAAAAATACCTGCATGTAATTACATCTGTAATTAACTTCTGTAATTACATTGTAATTACACTGTTGACCCATCACTTACACCTACCCATACCACCAAACCTGTCCCTAACCTGAACTTATCCCACCTCAATAGCAGCAAAAGTGTTTTGCAATACAATATGAACACGATAAGTACATTGCACTTATTTGTTGATGCAAGTACATAGTAGTTAAGGCCACTTAATATAAAGTGTGACCAGCTTTTCTTTTCTTTTTTGAATGTCAGTGTATCACGGTATCCACAAAAATATACAGCAGGGTGTCACACTGATCTGTGATGTTGTTGTATTAAGGAGGCAGAAGAGGCCAGTCCTGATATAGACGATTCAACCAAAACAGAAGGTGAAGCGGCCCAAAACACAGAAGAATCACCGTGTGACGGAGAAGAAGAGACGAAAGCAGAGGATGAAAAGAATGAAGAGGATAAAGAGATAATGGAAGAGGGACAGGCATCAGAACCAGAGGCACATGGTGACGGTGAAGAGAAGAAGGATGAAGAAGCTGAAGGAGGAGATGAAGAGGAGAACCAGGAGAACACAGAGAAGGCGGAGGAGAATCCAGATCCCAGTGAATGAATGAGAAATGAGAAACCCTGCAGGAGTAGTTCAGCGAGTTCAAACCGTATGCTTCTCTGTCTGCTGCAGAGCACAGAAGGAGCTGTTGTTCTCTGTATAATAACATGGAAAAGAGAGACCAGAACATTCTTCAAAATATGTTGTTTTTGTGAGAAGACAGAAAGCCATACAGGTTTGAATGATCACTTCTGGGTGAACTATCCCTTTAGAAGATTTGATTACTGCTAATTTAATCACATTAATAATTTATTGTATTGCGCTTCTAATACTGTGAACATATTTAATAACACAGCTAATTTAGCCAGTTAGGATTTGAGAAAATATCTATTTTCCATATAGTAACATAATTATGGTAACAGAACGAGTACAAGAGCTAATATCTGCTAAACTGATAGGTGTAATGTTTGCTAAAAATATTTATTTTAGATACTTTTTTGTCAAAGAAAGCTAAATATATGGATTTCTATTTCATCTTTCAGTGTCTTCTCTGTTGTGTATGTCATTATTGTGATATTATCATTTTAACTGACTTGATTAACATCAGTCCTGAAGAATAAGCGTGCAAACTAAATACAGTCGACTGCTTTCACAGATCTGTGTGGATACGTAATTCATTAGTGTGAGTGAGTGTGTGTGTGTGTGAGTGTGTGTGTGTGTGTGTGTGAGTGAGTGAAATTTAACATTTAATTTTTTGCAAAGACAAAATATGTTTGCAGTTACATATTAACAAGGTCATAGTCAGGCATATTTAATAAAAACAAGAGTAACACAAAAAATCTAGCTTGAATTTTTGTGTTACTTTAGTCCCAACTGATGGGGTCAAAAGTAACAATGTGCAACTTATGTTCAAAGTGAAATTATACTGAAGTCGTTCTACATTTGTACAAAATACCACCTGGTATTGATAGATCACACTTATGAGTTACTGACCACAGCAAAATATATTTTTTTTTATGGGGTTATGTCAAAATTTCTTTTTTTTTTTTTTTTTTTTTTTTTGAGACAGAAAGGGGTTTTCATGAACATTCTCTAAAAATTTGTTTCACTATACAAATAAAGTTTTTGTGTTCCCCTTTAAATTTCTGAGGGAACTATTCTAATAATTTTAACAAACTAAAGCACATCCCTTATAAATATACTACACACGCGCACACAGAGAGAGAGAGAGAGAGAGCTGGTAGAGAATCTGGTGATGCTGCTGTGTTTAACTGCAGGTGAACACTGAGAGCGACTCATCTCTCCATCAGCAGATCCTCAGCATGACTCACTCAGATCAACATCTATTTCCAGACACTGACAGACCAGAAACACAACACACTGACAGCTACAAAACACAACCAATCTGCTGTACCTACAACTCTCTTACTCATCTAATTTCTTTGAAATTGAGGTCTACAACATCCAAATGTTTCATTTAAAATATAAAGAGAGAAGAATCAAAATTATTTTTATTAATTTTATTAGTATTACAGTTTTTTTTTTTTTCAACTGCTTGCACACAAACTCTTCACTCGTCACACAGTTTCTGAAAGCTGACACTCAAACAGCAGAAGCACACACCAAATCTGCAAAACCATACACTGATTCTCGGTCTTTGACTTTTTCAATTTCATAAAACACTTTTTTGCAAAACACATTTGTGTGTAAAGTTTTGAGAAAAAGAGGCAAAGTTTTGAAAATGTATGGAAGCAGCTGAAAAAAACTAAAAGTAGAGTGAGGATGTTATTATATTCTCACTATTATAGGCTAATATGTATTTATAATATTCTCAATCTTTTCTAAGTGTGGTCACTCTGAAGCTGATCATATTTACTGTTGTTCAGCAAATTTTTGTAGGCAAAATCCAATCGTTTCAACAGAATTCTGCACACTCTGTAATTCTGCTTGAGGACTGAAAGGTTCTTCAAGCCAATTTCACATCACAGTCAAATTGCTCATGTAAATTTGCTAATAGAGATCTGCTTGGGTTAAGAGTGACTTCTGAGTGAGCTGTGATTCATGTCGCAACATCCTTGACAATGGAGAATGGACCTAAAGTTTAGCCAAAATGTATAATAATGTGACCGCATCTATAGGAATTCATGCAATTTTCTGTAAGAGAGAAATATTTCCACACACAAATTTTGCATCAGGTTCAAGTCTCTGCTTGATTTCAAGTGAGCTTTTAAAGACTCAGGATGTTCACTGCAGTCTCTGGGAGTCAATGTGTGGCCAACTGAGATTCTGCTATAGAGACAAAGGTTAGGAACGTGATTTTTTGGTAGTATTACAGCACACCGTGAGTGTGTATTACTGTTTTTGTTTGATTTTGGGATCTAATAGCACAACTGGACCCGGAAACTTTGACTTGTGACGCCAGACTTGGACCAGATGGACATTTTTATAGATTGAGGATCTTCAGAGCATCAGTGTTGACCATATCCTCACTTATGAATACACCATGTGAAAGATACAACATATTTTAATGTGCTTAGCTCAAATGATCATTTCAATATGCAAATTTAGAGCGAACAAATGGTAGAAACAGCCACCGACAGACAATGACGGTAACAAACAGTTCTTTTTATTCTGTTTGCTGAAAAATAGACACGTTCCAAGAGTAAGAACAGCTCCGATACCTTCTGTCTCCTTCCCAAGACCAGACGGACAAACCAAACCAGAGGATTTGACAGATTGAGACGATTACCAGCATTGTGATCGACACACCTCTGAAAACACATCCATATATGTCAGTTTAAACAAGAAGAATCAATTCTTGAAGCAGCTGAGACATATATATATATATATTATAAATGTTATATTTTAGACTTCATCTAGACCTGTCCGAGAGATTTGATTGTTAAATATCCAGTGATTGGTGCGAGAGATTCATTAGCAAGCCTTGTCATTTTCAAACATCTGAATGCATATGCAATATGTTCGATGATCATTTATAATCAATAAATAACACAAAAGTTTACGCTCAGAAGTGACGGTGAGGGTTTTTCATTCTTATCAACCTTCTTGAAAGTAGTTTACAATGTTTCACTGAATGGTGTGATCATGCAACATTTGCTCTAATCAATCAAAGTAAAAAAACTATATATAAGAATAATAAAATGCACCAGCACAAAATAATTGTTTTTAGGAATGACTGGCACAAATACTGTACTTACAGAGAAACTCTGGAGACAAAAGCACAGCAATGACTCTACCAGGAAGCCAAAGAGAAACACAAAACAAGAGAAGCAGACAGAAAGAAAAGGAAAGTCTTAATGGGCTCGGCTGCGATGAGTGTAATTACCTATAGACAGTGACTGCACTTAACGGCCTCTTGAGGAAAGCGAGGCTGGAGCAAGAATGATGTGCAACACAATGAGAGGATATTACATAATCCCACAGGCGCATTTAAACCGTAATCTATTTTCACTCCTAGACATCGCAGGCGGTGATGTATTTGAGCAGAACGGAGACGCGGTATTGAGATGTGTGAAATTGTGGATCAGAATGCATTGCGTTCTGTCAACGAACTATTGATTGACTGTAGCAATAGAGCGCGAAGCGTTCGCTAGGAGAGATTCGGAGAAAAATTGCACCTTGGGTGACGGCAATGAACCAACGTGACGCTTTCTGAACGAGCGATGACAAATCATTGTAGTTTCAGTTGACAATGTTAGTATGGCAGCCGTGATGAATTAGCTGTTAACGCACAGGCCTCCGTTCTGCTTGTTTATGAGTTTTACCTAATGACTTTTCTCATATAACACGATGGAAATTGTGAGAGGCTGTGTTTGAGTTCACTATAATAGAGAAACTATTCTTGCTTATTCGGTATTAATACACACAAGCCTTGACGCCTCTGAAGAATATGTTGCTCTTCGGAACAGCAGCCTAAAGGTGTTCTGATTCCTAGCCGTAGCACGCGAGTATATTTGTGCTGTGTGTCTGTATTCAGGAGCACCAGTGATGATCGACAGGGTACGCTTACGCTAATCGCCGTAAATACTCTCGGTGCTCTTGCTCAATATAGTCGAATGATATGCGCCAGAGAAAGTGCAGTGTTATCTATCTCTACTGTTCAAGGAACTGTTGTTTTGTTTTGCACGGAAGCGTGGGATGCTTAAGAGGTCAGGTTTCTGCTCCGGGCTGGACGCTCTGCACTTTGGAGAGTGTGACGGGAACCTTGGCCTCTCCAGGTGTGGGAGCGCGGGTGACGGGCTGAACGGAGGCCTGGATCTCGGCGAGCCGCTCTTTGAAGCGCTGCTGCAGACGGAGCTCTTCCTTGGAGCTGCCCTGAGAGCAGGTGGCCAGCAGCAGCCCCACCGCCATCCCACTGCCGCCCACGCAGAACAGCACGGCTCCGGCCAGCTTACAGGCGTCCAGTGCCCGGTTGAAGCGCACCGCGCGGCCGTCCACAAACAGCAGCTCGTCTTCTCCGAACGCTTCGAGTCGAGGCGGCGTGGCGTAGCCCACCAGCAGCACGGATAACCCCGCCACCAGAATCAGAGCGCCTAGCGCGAGACAGACCTGGTGGAGAGACACAGAGGAGCCGTATTAATCCAATGTTCTGGCATGAAACTCTAGATGGCGCAGTCCGATTGGTCAAACTCAATCTGACATCATGATCACATGGCACAGCTCATTGGTTATTTTTGTATCAGCAGCCAATGAGCTCGCTGCTCAACATTCAAATATATGACTAGTGTTTGCTGTAGCAGTTTGCAGCGAGCTTGACTAGTGTTTGCTGTAGCAGTTAACAGCGAGCTACAGAAACCCTCCACCTCCCCAGCTCCACCTGTATAGATCTGCCACAGGGTGATTCAAGTATGCTATGTTTGGCGGTTATTCATATATGTTATATGTGCAGCAGCAGTATTTCTTACATGCTTACAGCAGCATGTTGTGGATGTATTGGCAGTAGCAAGTCTCGGTATAGCAGCAGCGCAACTGATCTATTCCGCCAAGACCAAACACATTAAAGGATTAGTTCACTTCCAGAATAAAAAATCCTGATAATTTACTCACCCCCATGTCATTCAAGATGTTCATGTATTTCTTTCTTCAGCCGAAAAGAAATTACGTTTTTGAGGAAAACATTCCAGGATTTTTCTCCATATAGTGGACTTCAGT